GGTTAGGGCTAGGCATGTTAGGGTTAAACATGCAAGAGTTGGGGCTATATCTGTTAGGGTATGGGATAGTTAATGTCAGTATTATGGCGAAGGTTAGAGCAGTGTTTCTTAACCTGGAGGTGCGAGATGCCCTTTCTGGGGGTGCGAGACACGGTCAGATTTTTTTTTGGAAGGTAAATCATCGAAACACAAATTCAGCTCGGGGCATGTAAGTAACAACTTCCTTTGTTTCATCAAACCCTGTGTATTGATTAACTTTTTTTAATTACGATTGAGAACCAAAGGGGTGCAAGACTGCAGTAAAGTACACGAACAACTGGGTTAGGGTAAGAGCTGGACTTGTTAGGGGAAGTGTTACATGGCCAGAGTCAGGGCTAAGATTGTTAACGTTAGGGTTAGACTTGCTATAGTGATAAGGTTATGACTAGGGCTAGAGTAAGTACTAGGCTTATATCAGGCTTAGGGCTAAGCTGTATCATGGTAAAGCTAACCTTGGCAAGGGTTAGGATTAGTGCTAGGGTTACATACCTTTCAACCCCTTATCAGTGCCTAACTTATCACAGACCAAATCAGACCTTATTGTTCACCCCGTGCCCTTATAAACATCAACGTTCATCCGACAAAGTCCCATCACAAGGGAGAAACACAAACAGACGAAACAATCTTTGCCGGTAGGGTATAGACCTGACAACCGTATGGGTTGACGGGTGTGGGCCTAAGATTCCATGCTTAAGTGTAAAATGATAGGGCTCGTTCGTTAGGGTCAGGGTTTCGGCCAAGGGCTATAGGACTGCAAAGGTTTGGTCACAGCACTTCTCATCTCGCTAATAGTTACCCATTAGGTGTAATGGCGGGCGCGGCGTGTGTGTACAGTCGATTCTGTTGGCGGTGTAGCAGTCACTTGAAAGCAACTTTGGACGTAGATTGTTTTTAAAGGGACGTCTTAACACGCCGTGAGAAGTACGCATCAGTTCAACACGTGTAGGCTTTCGCGACTAATATTCATAATAAACGTTTTTTTGTTAGATCGCGTTATTTATAAATGTGTCGTAACCCTCCACCACCCGACACGGTCAATCAGCAAAAAAGTAGATAGGAGAGACAGCTACAGCTAGACAGGTGAGACAGCTACAGCTAGACAGGTGAGACAGCTACAGCTAGACAGGTGAGACAGCTACAGCTAGACAAGTGAGACAGCTACAGCTAGACAGGTGAGACAGCTACAGCTAGACAGGTGAGACAGCTACAGCTAGACAGGAGAGAGAGTTGCAGCTAGACAGGTGAGACAGCTACAGCTAGACAGGAGAGACAGCTACAGCTAGATAGGTGAGACAGCTACGGCTAGACAGGAGAGACAGCTACAGCTAGACAGGTGAGACAGCTACAGCTAGATAGGTGAGACAGCTACAGCTAGACAGGCGAGACAGCTACAGCTAGACAGGAGAGACAGCTACAGCTAGACAGGAGAGACAGCTACAGCTAGACAGGTGAGACAGCTACAGTTAGACAGGAGAGACAGCTACAGCTAGACAGGTGAGACAGCTACAGCTAGACAGGTGAGACAGCTACAGCTAGACAGGTGAGACAGCTACAGCTAGACAGGTGAGGCAGCTACAGCTAGACAGGTGAGGCAGCTACAGCTAGACAGGTGAGACAGCTACAGCTAGACAGGTGAGACAGCTACAGTTAGACAGGAGAGACAGCTACAGCTAGACAGGAGAGACAGCTACAGCTAGATAGGTGAGACAGCTACAGCTAGACAGGTGAGACAGCTACAGCTAGACAGGAGAGACAGCTACAGCTAGACAGGAGAGCCAGCTACAGCTAGACAGGTGAGACAGCTACAGCTAGACAGGTGAGACAGCTACAGCTAGACAGGTGAGACAGTTACAGCTAGACAGGTGAGACAGCTACAGCTAGACAGGTGAGACAGCTACAGCTAGACAGGTGAGACAGCTACAGCTAGACAGGTGAGGCAGCTACAGCTAGACAGGAGAGACAGCTACAGCTAGACAGGTGAGACAGCTACAGCTAGACAGGTGAGGCAGCTACAGCTAGACAGGTGAGACAGCTACGGCTAGACAGGTGAGACAGCTACAGCTAGACAGGTGAGACAGCTACGGCTAGACAGGTGAGACAGCTACGGCTAGACAGGTGAGACAGCTACAGCTAGACAGGTGAGACAGCTACAGCTAGACAGGTGAGACAGCTACAGCTAGACAGGTGAGACAGCTACAGCTAGACAGGTGAGACAGCTACGGCTAGACAGGTGAGACAGTTACAGCTAGACAGGTGAGACAGCTACAGCTAGACAGGTGAGACAGCTACAGCTAGACAGGTGAGACAGCTACAGCTAGACAGGTGAGACAGCTACGGCTAGACAGGTGAGACAGCTACAGCTAGACAGGTGAGACAGCTACAGCTAGACAGGAGAGACAGCTACAGCTAGACAGGTGAGACAGCTACAGCTAGACAGGTGAGACAGCTACAGCTAGACAGGTGAGACAGCTACGGCTAGACAGGAGAGACAGCTACAGCTAGACAGGTGAGACAGCTACAGTTAGACAGGTGAGACAGCTACAGCTAGACAGGTGAGACAGCTACAGTTAGACAGGAGAGACAGCTACAGCTAGACAGGAGAGACAGCTACAGCTAGACAGGTGAGACAGCTACAGCTAGACAGGTGAGGCAGCTACAGCTAGACAGGAGAGACAGCTACAGCTAGACAGGTGAGACAGCTACAGCTACACAGGAGAGACAGCTACAGCTAGACAGGTGAGACAGCTACAGCTAGACAGGTGAGGCAGCTATAGCTAGACAGGAGAGACAGCTACAGCTAGACAGGTGAGACAGCTACAGCTAGACAGGTGAGACAGCTACAGCTAGACAGGTGAGACAGCTACAGCTAGACAGGTGAGACAGCTACAGTTAGACAGGTGAGACAGCTACAGCTAGACAGGTGAGACAGCTACAGCTAGACAGGTGAGACAGCTACAGCTAGACAGGTGAGACAGCTACAGCTAGACAGGTGAGACAGCTACAGCTAGACAGGTGAGACAGCTACAGCTAGACAGGTGAGACAGCTACAGCTAGACAGGTGAGACAGCTACAGCTAGACAGGTGAGACAGCTACAGCTAGACAGGTGAGACAGCTACAGCTAGACAGGTGAGACAGCTACAGCTAGACAGGAGAGACAGCTACAGCTAGACAGGTGAGACAGCTACAGCTAGACAGGTGAGGCAGCTATAGCTAGACAGGAGAGACAGCTACAGCTAGACAGGTGAGACAGCTACAGCTAGACAGGTGAGACAGCTACAGCTAGACAGGTGAGGCAGCTACAGCTAGACAGGTGAGACAGCTACAGCTAGACAGGTGAGACAGCTACAGTTAGACAGGAGAGACAGCTACAGCTAGACAGGAGAGACAGCTACAGCTAGACAGGTGAGACAGCTACAGCTAGACAGGTGAGACAGCTACAGTTAGACAGGAGAGACAGCTACAGCTAGACAGGTGAGACAGCTACAGCTAGACAGGTGAGGCAGCTACAGCTAGACAGGAGAGACAGCTACAGCTAGACAGGTGAGACAGCTACAGCTAGACAGGTGAGGCAGCTACAGCTAGACAGGAGAGACAGCTACAGCTAGACAGGTGAGACAGCTACAGCTAGACAGGTGAGGCAGCTACAGCTAGACAGGTGAGACAGCTACAGCTAGACAGGTGAGGCAGCTACAGCTAGACAGGTGAGGGAGCTGTAGCTGGGCAGGTAAGTGGGCGAGACGAGGTTTGGCAGGTGTAGTAGACACGTTGTGGTACAACTTATCCCACAGACTCATCGGCGATGCAGGTGGCCGAGACGCGACAGGTAGGAGAACTCACGACGAGTTCGGCAGATAACAACTAACTACAAGGGTGAGGTGAGCACACACACACACAGGCGCACAGGCAGGCTGACTCGCACAAACACTCGGAGGCGGACAGGTGGACCGACACAGACACGGGTAAGGTAGACAACTTGGTTCACATACTGGTAGGTGTGCATGGCAACAGGTGTGTGCGTGGCAACAGGTGTGTGCGTGGCAACAGGTGTGTGCGTGGCAACAGGTGTGCGCGGCAACAGGTGTGCGTGGCAACAGGTGTACATGACAACAGGTGTGCATGACAACAGGTGTGTGCGTGGCAACAGGTGAAGTGCGTGGCAACAGGTGTGCGTGGCAACAGGTGCGCATGACAACAGGTGTGTGCATGTCAATAGGTGTGCATGACAACAGCTGTGCATGGCAACAGGTGTGCATGGCAACAGGTGTGCATGGCAACAGGTGTGCATGACAACAGGTGTGTGCATGGCAACAGGTGTGTGCATGGCAACAGGTGTGCATGGCAACAGGTGTGCAGCATGGCAACAGGTGTGGATGACAACAGGTGTGCATCATGACAACAGGATGTGTGCGTGCAGACTGACAACAACAACACAGGGAGACGGACGGACGTGGACACGAATAGGCAGGTACAGGTAGACCGGCACAGGTAGGCAGGTAGCAAGACAGGTAGGCAGACAGGTAGACCAGCAGGCTTACACAGACATAGGCAGGCAGGCAGACAGGTAGGAAGACAGGTAGACCGGCACAGGTAGGCAGACAGGCAGGTAGGCACAGGTAGACAAGACAGGCAGGCTAAGTAGGCTTACACAGACACAGGCAGGCAGGCACAGGTAGACTGATAGTCGCTGGTAGGTAGGCAGACTGACACACAACGAGGTAGGAGAGTCGGCTGACTGACACAGACATGAACCGTAGCTGGCACAAGTTGGTCGACAGAGTGACTGGCACAGAGAGATACGGGCAGGCACGGGTACAATTAAACAGGCACACACAGCTACTGCACGTAGTCACACGTAGGCAGACGAACAAAAAGACGAACACAGGGAGACAGATACGCCAGTCAGAGACGCACGGAGTGACTGACACATGCAAGGCACGGGGCAAGGCAGTCAACTACTCACCTCGCCGGGCTGGGCTGAGCCGATGTATTGGGCAAATCTTCTCCGGGGCTTCGTCCTCCGTGTGTCGGCCCCGCAAACTCCCTCACCGTCTCCCTGGTTGTGTACCGGGGCGGGTGTGCGACTGAGCTAATGCCCCAGTCACCACGTGCGTCCTTGACTTGAGCACGGACTTGGTGCCTAGATGGCTGACGCGCTGCACCGACTGCCTGTGTGCGTGTCTCAATCGCTGAGTGACTGACTCACCGAGTGACCGACTCACCGAGTGACTTGACTGATCTGCTCGAGTGACTGATTACCCCGACTGAGTGCTGAGTTCCTTGCTAAGTGATAGAGCACCCGGGCCGAGTGACCGAGCACCCAGCTAAGTGGCTAAGTACCCAGGTTGAGTGGCTGAGTGGCTGAGTGACTGAGTGGCTGATTGACCCTGGGTTGAGTGGCTGAGTGACTGAGTGGCTGAGTGGCCCTGGGCTGAGTGACTGAGTGGCTGAGTGACTGAGTGGCTGAGTGACTGAGTGGCTGAGTGACTGAGTAGCTGTGTGACCCTGGGCTGAGTGACTGAGTGGCTGAGTGGCTGAGTGACTGAGTGACTGAGTGGCCCTGGGCTGAGTGACTGAGTGGCTGTGTGACCCTGGGCTGAGTGGCTGAGTGACTGAGTGGCTGAGTGGCCCTGGGCTGAGTGGCTGAGTGACTGAGTGACTGAGTGGCCCTGGGTTGAGTGGCTGAGTGACTGAGTGGCTGAGTGACTGAGTGACTGAGTGGCCCTGGGCTGAGTGACTGAGTGGTTGTGTGACTGAGTGGCTGTGTGACCCTGGGCTGAGTGGCTGAGTGGCTGAGTGACTGAGTGGCTGAGTGACCCTGGGCTGAGTGGCTGAGTGACTGAGTGGCTGAGTGACCCAGGGCTGAGTGGCTGAGTGACTGAGTGGCTGTGTGACCCTGAGCTGAGTGGCTGAGTGGCTAAGTGGCTGAGTGACTGAGTACCCAGGTAGAGTGGTTAAGTCACCCCGGGCTAAGTGACTGAGTCTCGCCGGGCCGAGTGGCTGAGTCCCCTCGCCCCACAGGCGAATATGGCGAGGGGCAGGTCACGTGGGGGGCTGGGGAGAACGACGCGATGGCGAACAAAACTGTTCACGCGTAGAGCAGAGAGAGAGACAGAGGGTGGATGGTGGACAATACTGGTCACTTACACGGAGTGGATGGTGGACAATACTGGTCACTTACACAGAGTGGATGGAGACGAAGACTAATGCTAGATTTGAAGATTTCGTGACTGCAAGGATTCATACGCTTAGTTCTTTCGGTAAAGTCACGTAGGTAAAAAATTAAATTAAAATTAATAAAAAAAATAAAACAAGAAAATCACGACGTTTCGGAGGCAACACAAGTCTCCGTCATCAGGTGGGACCTTCACAGCCAGATTTGGTGCTTCATTTTTTTTTACCTACGTGACTTTACCGAAAGAACTAAGAGTATGAGACGAATACTGTTCACTTACACGGAGAGAGTGGATGGATGAGACTGTCAACTTACACTGGGAGCGTGGATGGAGTACAAGACTGGTCACTTACACAAAGTGGCTTGGAGGATGAAACTCTTCCCTTACACGGGGAGAGTGGATGGAGTACAAGACTGGTCACTCATAGGGGGTTACCTATATAATCAGAATGTATATTTCTACTGGACGAATCCGATGAGCTATGAAGCTATTTTTCAAAGATGTCCAGTAGGAGCACGGGGTAAGAACTTTACAACAACAAAAATAAAAAAAACTCGATAGTCGTGCAAAGTACAAGAAAGGTAAACAAATCACCTAAACGCGTACAAATAGTACTGGTAGGAACCTCCTGGTTACACCAACCTACAGGGGATTATTGTGTCCGTCCGTCCGTCGTGCGGGGAGGGGCTGGGTGGGGAGGGGCTGGGTGGGGAGGGGCTGGGTGGGTGGGGCTGGGTGGGGAGGGGCTGGTCACCCCGTGGTGCCCTTATAAAACGCAACGTTTAACCTACTCACGCCGGCTTGTGCCCGCCCTCACAGTCGGACATATTTGCGGAATACACCACGCCGCCGTTGACCCTGCAGGCCATTGACCGAGCAACCCGACGTTCCTACCAGCTCCGTCTGCAGGAATATGTTAGCTAAACCATCCCCATCCTACCAGGCAAAGCCCACTGAGATTATGACTTATTTTAAAGAAGCAATTTGACTACCACAAATGATAGATAGCTCAACGAAGTGGTCCATCATTTGGACTTTCACAGCCGCAAACTAATCTAAATCATCCCAATGGAATGTTTTTCAATGTGGAAGGGAAACCCGGAGAACCCGGAGAAGGAAAATCCACGCGACCACGTGGAGAGAGAGACACGCAAACTCCAAATATACAACAGGCGTCGGGGTCGAACCCACGACCTCCTGCATACCAGGCGAGGTAGTTAACATCTCCTAGCCACCGTGATGATTATGGAGAGAGAAACACCGCAAACTCCAAATATACAGCAGCAGGCATCAGGGTCGGGGTCGAACCCACGACCTCCTGCATACCAGGCGAGGTAGTTAACATCTCGTAGCCACCGTGATGATGATTATAGAGAGAGAGACACGCAAACTCCAAATATACAACAGGCGTTGGGGTCGGGGTCGAACCCACGACCTCCTGCATACCAGGCGAGGGAGTTAATATCTCCCTAGCCACCCGTGTCACATTAAATCACAAGGGGTCCGGAAACCAAAATAATAAGAGCCTTTTTTAATTAGTCACAATACCATCAGTAGTGTTATTAGTGTGTAGCTCAACATACTTCATAATCAACGTTTTGGGTTTAGATCGCGTTATTTATAAATGTGTCGTAACCCTCCACCACCCGACACGGCCAATCAGTAAAAAAGTGTCACGTTGACAAAAGACAAATAGTTCACTGCTTTAGCCCACCGGTGTGTTGAAGCGTGAAACCACAACATTTACATACTTGCTGTACACCAGTCCTTGGAGTATGCGTGTATGGACGTGTATGTTAAACTTCTTTCGCACCGTACGTAGCCAACCGATCAGCAAAATCGGAGGTACCGGGCGAAGGGCAGCAAACGAAAGCACTTTTGAAGAAGAAATTAGTTTTCAATCTCTAAAAGTGATAGGGGGACTCCCTGTGTGCATTGCAAGTGGCTGTCCAGAGTCACCAGGGGACAGGGATACATCACGCGGCAGGGTGAGAGGCAAGCCGAAGGATCAGAAGAAGACTGACCCTCTACCACCCCCTTGTGGCACGGGAGAAAGCGATGCTACAGAACTTGCTGTGGACTGTGCTGTGAACGCGGCCTCGGTAAGGTGAAAGTTAAAAGGTAAAAACAGCGAGCCTACCTTTACCCTACCTTTTATCTTACCACAATACAATCACTCTACCCTACCTTTTACCCTTTAGCACAGGGGTCGGGAACCTTTTTGACTGGGAGAGCCATAAAAGCCAAATATTTCTAAATATATTTCATTGAGAGCCATGTAGTATTTTTAACGTATAATAAATTAAATGTCTTACTTTTAATGCGACTTCTGGTGCTGCATGGTTTTGCTGATGGCCTTGTAGTAGTCTGGTTCGTACGTGGTGAGGTTGAGCTTCGTGCAGGCGTGACCCGTGAAATTTATCTTCAAAACTAATTTCTGTTTACTTTAAAATGACACAATATTATTAAGCAATATCACAAGTATTTTAAAATCAGTTCCAAACTGATTTTTTTTTATTTTTTTTTCAACTCAAAATTGACTGGGAGCCATATGCCGTCACCGGAAGAGCCATATATGGCTCGCGAGCCATAGGTTCCCGACCGCTGCTTTAGCAGGTAAGGTAAAGGGTAAAAAGTATAACCCGTAAAAACAAAGTTTTTCACTCTAAATCCTTTATATGCGTGGCGGCTAGAGTCCTCTCGTCCTCTGGCTTGAGATGGCTGCCACCTATGGGTCAGATGATTGTCTGCCAGTATTAAGCAATTGGAAATTAAATATTTAATTTGTTTTCCCTAAACAGTGTAAAATTTTGGAAAAAAAATTTCACGAACATTCATTGTCTCGCACAACGAGTCTGTGTGAAAAATGTCAGCTCGATTGGATCACGGGAAGTGGGTTAAAAAACGACTGAAAGATTTGCACGGTCGTAAGCACGCAAGCAAGCGAACTTAATATAAAGGATTTAAAAAGCAACGAGCCTACCTTTTACCCTACCTTTTAGCCTTACCCCATACATTACAGGGTAATTACTGGGGTACTACGACATGAAAAAGGGTTATAACGGTAAATGCTAGTTGGAGCGCTTTATACATATAGAATACTCTCGATTCCAATTTTACACGCTTTCTTTGAACTCACTCTGTTGTTGTTATTGTTGTGGTTGTCATTGTTGTTGTCGTATCCTCAAATCTTGTAACTCAATTTTAACCCACTTCCTAATGTGGTATCGACTGCAAACTCGGTATATGTATGTCATAATGGTGACAATACTATGTTATATCACTAAAAAAATACATATTTTTAAACGATCTTTTGTATATGTTATGTTTCGGCTTGGGTCTAATTGTCCACGCTCAACTCACGTTTTGCTGTAAGTCACCACGGGCCCCTTACGTTGTGGCAAGCTTCGGGGCCACTTCCTGGAGTCGTGGAGTTCTGCCTTTACCCTACCGGGTAATTCTTCCGAGCTACCTTTACCCAACCCTTTACCTTACCCATTGGCATGTTGACACCTTTACCCTATTACCCGGTAAAAAGGGTCATTTACATTACCTTGCCGAGGCCTAGTGTGAACATCGGTGTTACGACTGCTGTATCAGTGTTTTCATTGCAAGGCCCACTGGCTCACTGGCGGCCTCTTGTGGCCATTAGTGAGGGCCCACCGACAATACGCAACACGTGAACTCGCCCCCATCACAGAGGTCGCAAACGGGTTTTGATTCCTTACCCGTACCCGGCCGCACCAGGGTCGCAAATGGGTACCCGTACCCTACCCGATCATCATCATCATGCTGCTGCCAAACCCCCAACGGTTTCAAATGTGGGGGGCTCTCTCACATTGATGATGTCGTCCCGGCGAAAGTGGTGTCCCTTCCCCCCCCCCCCGCTCTGAAAATTAGTGACAAACACTGCGCTGGATGTCGTGAAATATTGTGCTCGCTGGATGGTGTCAAGTCGCCGTTGGTGTCTGGCATATCGTGCTGAATTGATGGTGCGGAGTTGCTGCCATCTGGTGGATTGTTGTGGTTTTGGAGGCCACGAAGAGTCTGGTGAAGAGGGGTTCTGGTCGGATAACAGTCGTGGGTCCCTCGGGATCCACACCGATCTCCAGAACCCAACAATGTGACAAAGACATCATGGGGCCTCCCTTGCCAGTAGTAAGGTTTTACTCCTTCTGGCAATAAAAGAAAGCGGTCTCTGGTATGGACCAATCCGTTTCAAAGACAATGCATATACTATCAGAACATGATTTTTTGTTTGCATGTTCACAAGTATTGTGGTTAATGCAGACATGATTCCTTGCAAAAGGTTTCCGTTTGGTGTTAACATTTTAACACCGCTGTTTTATTGCCAGAAAGGCTAAAACCTATTCTTGTGTCACAAAGGATTGCGTAAAATCACGTGTGCGTGTGTGATGCGAGACCCCACCAGTGAAATTCTAATTAATTTGGCGGACATCCGGATGGCTATCCAAACCAGCCCTGGTGCCTGTTGGTGGTTGAGGCAACGTTGCTTCAAAAGTACGAGTTCGGGAACGTGCTAGGGTGTAGTAGGTATGAGTGTGCACTGGATTTGCGTAAATTACACTTTAGTCACTGTATGTTGAACTTCTTTCGCACCGTACGTAGCCAACCATGCTCATCGGAGGTGCCGGGGGGGGGATAAACTAAAACTGCACGATCGGCGAAAGCCCTCGTGGTGTTCCATCCTCAAAATAAAGACAAAGTCACCGTGAACCCAGGTGAAATTGTCTCACGCCCCGCAAAACTCCACCAGACGTAACACGCATAAAGTGACCTGGGGCTGGCCCCCAACACTGGAAACTCTCCTTAAAGTCACGCAAGATTTAGCCTGCATCTCGGACCCAACCACAACACGAGAAGACAAATTCACCTTTCGTTTATTGTTAAAACTCCTTAGACAGCAAATGCATTTTGCCCTGCATGTAGTGATTACTGCCACAACCGACCGACTTGTGTTCAACGGTGAACAGGCTGCAGTGGTTTACAAGATCGGAGAGTGAAGAAGCTGATTGGGCCACGCAGACCCTACACACAGCAGCAGAGGTGGGACAAAGTCATTGTTATGCAAGTCCAAGTCGAGTCTGAAGTCATCAAATTCATGACTCGAGTCTGACTCGAGTCCAAGTCACATGACTCGAGTCCACACCTCAGAGGTGGGACAAAGTCATTGTTATGCAAGTCCAAGTCGAGTCTGAAGTCATCAAATTCATGACTCGAGTCTGACTCGAGTCCAAGTCACATGACTCGAGTCCACACCTCAGAGGTGGGACTAAGTCATTGTTATGCAAGTCCAAGTCGAGTCTGAAGTCATCAAATTCATGACTCGAGTCTGACTCGAGTCCAAGTCACATGACTCGAGTCCACACCTCTGCACAGCAGTCGCCCTCCTAAACGTTTACATTCAATGTAAAAGTCCTTCACTTAGCAAACGGAGAACTTTGTGAGGCACGGCTAACCTCTTTGACAAAGGGTGGCGAATAACCAAACTTTCAAATAGCTTCCTATTTTGTATTCATCTCACAGCCTTTTGCCAATCCCACTGTGCGAAGGGGCCCCCTTTCCCCACCGCCGTGTCGACCGTGGGAATTTGTTCGACCATACTTCACCGCGCAGCTCAGTGCGGGGTGAAGGAGGGGCCCAGAACCGGTTCAGATATCGCTGGCCACGGACATTCGAATAAGTTGAGAATTTTTTTCCATTTCAACTTGTAACGCACGCAGCCGCAGTAGCGGTAAGGCGACCACGTGGAGAGCAGGTGCCAACGATTGCCCAAGCTCTGCGATCCTCTATGTCAAGGTGTTATTGGCCAATTAATGAGTGGTTTACATGGGGGAAGAAACCAGAGCGCTTGGAGAAAACCCACGCACTCAAGGGGGAAACGCTCTATCCCACACGGACTTAAACCTGTGGAGTCCACATTTTTTGCTGTACCGCATTCTCCTGACAACGCCAAGGTATAGCAGCACATCGACGTCCCCCCCCACCTCTGGAGTTCGTGAGAGCCCCACCAACCCTCACGTCAAGATTAAAAGGCCACCAACGCCTGGCTAATTGGTTATGGCTAGGAATCAAACTTGGGGCATCTTTTACATTTTGATGTATTTTTAGAGACCGTTGTCAACCCACTGCTGGATGAGGCCTCCCCCACGCCATGTTGTTGGTCATTGCTTGAACGACCTCTACTTCATAATACTGGCTGGTGTGGACTGGGGTCAGATATCATTCACCATCGAATTGCCAGGAAACGAACTCTGCTTGCCAGGCTGAAAACGATATGCAATTAACCACTGCGCCAAACACTCTGCCCAAACGATGGGATTGGTGGCACGATATTGAAACACAACGGTATATACTGGACTTACAAAAAAGGCATCACATATTTAACATTCGCTCTGCCCCACCTGGTTTTGGCAAAAAAAAAAGGTTTTCCAATGTCTTGGCTAATATTGAGTCGCAAAGGGAGTTGGGGATTTCTCAACACAAACTCAATACCTTCAGTCTGAACATCACCGGTCATTCATGTGACGTTGGTGAAGCAGCTCTTTTCAGGAGGCACTGTTTAGTGTTGTTCATGTAAAAAGGACAATTCAACTACGAAACAAATTACGACACAATCACATTCTACACACGATTCTCAAAACAAACCGTTTCTCGCCACTGAGGCTTTCTCTCCATGCCCTCCCAACACGGCATCGAATAACAACACGAAAGTGCGCTGCTCGCAAAAAAATCCTTGCAATGGCTCGCAGAAAAATCATTGCAATGGTAAAAGTACAATTACTTGCCACGTTTCAAAACGATAAGTTAACGGGGGTGGGCAAATGCACGTCGCTGAGTAGCGTAGAAAGGCGCTTGAGAAGGAGGTGCGTACCCCGCAAGCCATCGCGATCTTTCGCTAGTCGCCAACCATGATTAGCACGGGCACGCCCCCCCCCCCCCCCCCCCCCGCTGCAACGAAATTAAATCTCTTCTACAAAGCCCGGTGCCTAGGCGTCCAACCCATCGACCCATGGGGCTGCACACACTGGATAGCCCACGCCACAGTCTCCCAAACCCTGCGCCACGCGTTTGCCCCCCCCACCCCCAGAACCAGACTCAACCGCCGACGCTCGTGCCGTCCACAGGTTCGTCCGCGCGTCGATTACGCCCACCACTTTCGCGTACACCCACCACGATCGCCGCAATTGCGAGCGCCCGCCAGCCCACCCGCCAGCCCGCCAGCCAGCCAGCCCGCCCGCCCTCTTTACATTTCACAAACCCCGCTGAAACAAATCCGCGCTTCGCAGCCTCATCGCGAAGACGTGGCGTACTGTAATGGGAGGGGACGGGGTTTGGTATCATGGGCGATATTGGCCTCAGTGGGGAACGGGGCAGATGGGAAATGAGTCCTGACAAGGCTGACCACAACAATGCGATTGCACACGCGTCTGTGCGTGCGTGTGCCAGATGTGTACGGGTGCACGGAGGAATGAGGGCGTCACATGAGCATGCAATGGCACTGCACGCTGGGAGTTCTCTCTCTCCGCCACTTCTCCCTCTTCTTGTTCTTCTTCTCTGGAACCTGCTCCCTGCAGAAGACAAACAAAACGATGATTCCCTCGAGCGAGTGCCAAGAGCCGAGAGGACCGACTGAGGCCGACACGGTGCGCTTGATCTCATGGGGCAACGCCGACGCCACGACCGGTAATGCGACTTGGGGGGGATTTTTTTTATTTAAAATTTGGGTAGCAGAACGTCAACCGGTAAACCGGGAGCCGTTTTCGGTGGAGCGAATGCACCGATTGGCACACGCGAACCTGCAAATCGCACGGCGGTCCAAGTCCTCGTGTGGGGCATTCACGCCTCGTTTCTAAGTGGCAAGGTAAAGGTGCAACCCTGCAACTGCTTGCTCACCGGCACCGACTGCGAGAGATTGATGCTCCAAGAGGTTAACTTGGCATACCCCTTCCATTGCTGACCAGACATCTCGGAGAAAACACTTTAACCCCCACCAATACTTCACGGAAATCAGCCAACCTTTCCGCCCTCCCATTCAGTTATCGGCAATGCACACAGAGAAAGATTTTAACAACGAGATGCATTTTAAAATGATACTTTTTACACACGATAACCGCGCCGTCGCTTACCGGATGACTCGCACGAGCTCGTGGAAGGCCTGGTCGACATTCAGCGGCGGGTCCTTGGCGCTCGTCTCGATGTACGGGATCTGCACGACAGAATTCTTACGCGTCATTTTGGAAACCCCCGAGGGTTTACGCATTTCTACTGAAGACAATAAATAGGACTGGCCTGCCACTACCCCAAGCAGAGTGCCATGATGCTGCTATGCAGGGTTAGGGCATCTGCCAAAGGTTTTTTAACTGCATCGTTCAAATTGGCTTTTGTCTGTAAAGGTACATGATTAATTGGCCGACTCCCAACATACTTACAGCTGTGAGAAAATAATGACCCAAAATGGATGCAGGGTTACGCAAACACAAGAGGTGTTGGGGTCGGGAGGTCAAATAATATATTTCGACCCTGGAATTCAGGAATACCCCGAATTTACGTCTCCCCCTTTTATGTAATTTAGCAAATACGTCGTCACTTAATTAACACCGCTACCCGATTTGCGTTGCCTCAACCCACACCTACGTCGCTGCCAGCGTCATCACCGTCCGTCCCTCCCTCCTTGTTTTCCGTCACCTCTCGGCCTTCGCCTCCACCTGCCTACCCCTGTGAACATTGCTTCGATTGACGTCGTCACGTACTTTCAGGAAACGCATCCCTGACGGAAACCGGGGTATTACTGCGTATCCAATGAACAAAATAATGTATTATCTTGTGCCGGGGCGTTACGACCGCTGTCCTCACGTTGTACTTGGCCGCCATGTCGCGACCCTGCTCGGAGGAGATCTTGCGAAGATGCAGCAGGTCCACCTTGTTAGCCACCAGCACCATGGGGAACGAGTCCCTGCGGGGGGCGGGGGGGTGGAGGGGGAAGAGGACAGGGTTATTTTCACCTACGTGACTTTACCGAAAGAATCAAAGAGTATGTCTTTTGTCAACGCGACACATTTTTTTACTGATTGGCCGTGTCGGGTGGTGTAGGTTTGCGACACATTTATAAATAACGCAATCTAACCCAAAAAAACTTTATGTATGGTAGGCTTGATGTCTGCGACGTGTAAATGCCCTCCGATCCACACGATCCTCTTTCCGTCTCTCTATGTAATTCCAAGCGTGCAAGCAGCCCCCTACGCTTGTTGCGGAGGTTCAAATCACGCAGGACTCAATCGGGATCACACACACGGCAACGTCGACGCCCACCACCCCTGCTGTAAAACTAGCGACTACTTCTGTGAAAAAAAAAAAATCGCACCTTTCTCTGTGATAACCTCACACTGTAAGAATACGCGGGGATACCTACACGTAGTACTAAACCATCGCTGTTATCGACAGATCACGAAGATCTATCGATAACAGCGACGGGGGCTGCCCCCACGCCGACACACTCACTTGTCCTTGACGCGCAGGATGAGCTGGTGGAACTTGTCGATGTGCTCGAAGCTGGTGCGGTCAGTGACCGAGTAGACGATGAGGAAGCCGTCGCCCGTGCGCATGTACTGCTCGCGCATGGCGCTGAACTCCTCCTGTCCGGCTGTGTCCAGCACTGCAGTGGGCACAAAGACACAGATCCCCCCACGTACATAGCCTGTAACAGACTGTTGGGGCAAGGGCCGTTAGCGAGTAGCACCTACGAAGGCTGGCAAGGTACACGAAGGGGGTGGGTGGTTAATACCATGCCCGGCCGCCTTCGTCCAATGTTCATACGCTGTACAGGGTATGCATTTAAGGCCGAGTCGACCTAGGGGAGGCCCAGAACCGGCTAAAATAATTCGCCACCATTATTGGTTTCCAAGTTTTTTTTTTATTGGTCTCCACGTAAGCAAGTGGGAAGGTTATCCATAGGGCAATTTCCAAATAGCAACACACCTTTTACACAAATGTTTTGTTCACATTGGATGATTTTTAACGAGCGTTATCATAACCCCGCGTTACACAAAGCTAATGCATTAACTCTTTCAATCAGAGTTAGAAAGCCTAAAAAGAGACACGGGTTCCCTGTGTGCAGCCTTTACCAGACTATTGGGCAGAGATCGCAATCGGGTACCCGATACCCGTACCCTACCCGATACCCGGCTACCCGTACCCGGCCGGGTACGGGTACCCGTTTGCTACCCTGGTGCGGCCGGGTACGGGTAGGCCGTGAGTCACTGGTGAGTAACCGTTTGTCACTCATTTCCCAACGTCTTGTCTCTTCTCACAATTCAAGTTCCTAGAATCAACCCACCCGTGCCTGCAACATGGCTTCATCCCAGAGGTCGCAATCGGGTACCCGTACCCTATACCCGGAAGGGTACGGGTAGCCGGGTATCGGGTAGGGTACGGGTACCCGATTGCGACCCTGGTGCGGACGGGTATGGGTACGGAATCAAAACCCGTTTGCGACCTCTGCTATGGGGAGACAAGTGCTCTTAGCGAGAAACTATTAACGACCAGTGTGGTAACGTATGGTGAAATAACCCCCACGACCCCACATGGCATTGGACGTCACTCATTCAGCAGTTCAACGACAAGAGTGCTATAACACATGGACACGAAAGCCCATTGACATGTATGTTTGTTGAACTTTTTTTCGCACCTTACGTACCCCAACCGCGCTAACTGCAGGTGCGGAAAAGTACAACAAACAACGCAAAAAGCAGTTCTAAAGAAATTAGTTTTCAATCTCGAGGATTGAAAAGTGCACAGCTCCAGTGGCTTCCTAATAGATGAAGAAAAGAGCGTTCCAGACGGCCGAAGAAGCGCATCTGAAAGCGCCCGATGCGGTGACCAACTTTGACGCAACAGCAAAGGGATACCCGGTGTACCAACGCAAATGTGAATCGGCCAGCGCAGGCCTAAAGAACGGCTGACGATGAAGGCAGAGGATGAAGGCCGAGGATGAAGGCCGATGACGCAGTGTCGACGCGGTGTCGACGCAGCCTTCGCATAGCGCCTTGCCCAAGACGGCAATGATTTGCCAAATCAGGACTAATAGAAACGACCTCGCAACCCTGGAGAAGCCATTAAGGGGCGACCACACCCAGCGGATCCGACATCCGCGGGCGAGAACGCCCGCTTAATAAAGCGGGCGTCTGACCCCGCGCGGCTACTCCATTAGGGCTTTTGTTCCACATTTTATTATTTATATTCCCTTGGCACACATCAAGCAACAGGGCTAATGGCGCCGTCAATTTCGTTGTCGTTGAGAATGGTGCAACTAAAAAAACATAACAACCACAAAAGAGATCTTATCGTGCAGATGCGTATCTAGGTCGTGCGTTCTCTGCAAGTTCCCGATCTGTCCGATACAAGCATATGGCTTTCATAATGAGACGTAAACAGACTTATAAAAATGACAGCTGCGTGCGTGTGACGAGCACGTGGCTCCGAGGTCAGAGTTGCCGAGCCGACACCACCGAGATCCTCGGTTCGAATCCAGCCACACGTCGACCTGCGATTAAAGTGCCTTCAAGGTCACCAATGACGAAACGCCGGCTCAAATTCCCCCCCTCCCCCCCACGGGTTCCCGAGAACCGTGGTCTCTGGCCCAGTGGGGAGGGGGGGTCAACGTCCGTCGATGTAAACGCCGCGTCGCTCGCAGCGCGGCGCATTTTATCGCGGGTGGGAGGTCGCCGGCGATAAGAGCGGCGGGGGTGGTGGCGGTGGCAGTTGTAAATATTTGGTCTGCGTGCACTTGAGGACAATATAGAAAGGTGGCACAGCACACACTCGGAAAGCGCAGGCTATTGTTGTTTCACAGCATACGTAGAGACCGGTTTAAAATCGTGCCGCAAGGTCACAGCTCCTCCAAGAAATGGAGTGCCATCCCCACAAGATCGACGCCGCTTCAAGAAAAAAAAAATGGACCTGCCGTGAAATGAAGGCGCCTGAATAATCAGCAATAACGGCTGCGCCGAAGAAGGCATTAATTATATTTTAATGAGCTACCCCGACCACGCCAAGACGGCTCGACATGCAACAGAAGTGCGTGCGGATTTAAGACGCCACAAAGTTGGCACCGCTCTCCACGGAGACACGTTAACGTCGAAACGCACACACGCACGCACCACATCCCTCTGGAAGATCGTCGGTCACCGTGGGTGTCACGGTGGTGGCGCAGAGTTTCAACGCGCCGCACTATGGACTCGCCGACCTGGCCTTCGCTGCACCATCTGAACAGGTCCCTGGGGGTACGCCCTTTAATCAACCGGTACCAAATCAACGTGGCGAAGTGTGGCCAAAACAACTCCCGTGACAAACACCTGCGCAGAGAGGCCGTCGTCCAGCAGTTGATTGATGAAGGGTTGTGGCCCGTGTTTACGCAAACTGCACCTTTGTCAATACACCAGTGATTAAGAGGTAACGGTAAAGGGAGCGCTTTTGCATCGCACGAGCAAAAGTGGAAACATTATTGGTGGCTTGTGACTGGACGGGAGGGTTAAAGCCTGGATTCCAGCCCAGGACTGAAGCAGCGAGCTCGCAGCTACCCAGCCACCTCCAAAAACATCGGTCAAATTGCTTGCAGCCGATAAATATTAAGAGCGCACTTTGCTTAGAATCGACGTTCGTAAGTAAACAAGTAAACCCGTAAAAACAAAGTTTTTCACTATAAATCCTTTATATGCGTGGCGGCTAGAGTCCTCTCGTCCTCTGGCTTGAGATGGCTGCCACCTATGGGTCAGATGATTGTCTGCCACCATTAAGCAATTGGTAATTAAATATTTAATTTGTTTTCCCTAAACAGTGTAAAATTTTGCATTTTTTTTTCACGAAAATTAATTGTCACACACAACGAGTCTGTGTGGAAAATGTCAGCTCGATTGGATCACGGGAAGTGGGTTAAAAAACGAGCGAAAGATTTGCACGGTCCTAAGCAAGCAAGCGAACTTAATATAAAGGATTTAAAAATATATTCGCCTGTGGAGGACGCGGGGATCGATCCCGCGACCTTTGGCATGGGAAGCGAGGGCGCTACCAACTGCGCTACTCCGCCACGGCCTGTGGAGGGGTTACGCTCTGGGCTCTTATACTATGACGTTCAGCCAAAGCCATGAATGCGTTCTATTTGAATATATGTAAAATAATTTTTTTTTCCCTAAAAAGTGTACAATTTTGGGAATTTTTTTTCACAAACAATAATTGTCTGGCACAACGAGTCTGTGTGGAAAGTGTCAGCTCGATTGGATCACGGGAAGTGGGTTAAAAAACGACCGAAAGATTTGCACGGTCCTAAGCAAGCAAGCAAGCACGCGAACTTAATATAAAGGATTTAAAAATAAAAGCCCTGCAGAGATTTACGCAGTTGCTCTGTAAATCTCACCGTTGATGTGCTTTCCTGTTTCAGTGCGCACCTGAAAAATCTTACGGCGCTTGGGGCAAAACGTCGGACACCAATGCGGAACAACACAGGCCAAAACAAAAACACATCCGACGGCTATTTGTGAAAGCATGATAATGAAAGCTGAAACCGGTATCGTTTCATCGCGACCTTGGTGGCTTTGAGTATTTTATTTATCTACCATTTACCAAGCCGGAGATTCTCGTAAAAAAAAAAGGCGACCCCCAGGGCGACGGCCAATACCAATACCCACCATATGTCACCAAGTGACGGTGACGTCACCACGGTGCCTGTGCCGGACGCATTTTGAGGCCACGTGAAGTGTTGAAGGCTAGCCGACCAAACGCGGAGGTTGTGCGCGCGCGCCGATGGCGGGCGATCGGGTGAGAGCAGCGGAAAAAGTGTTTTGCGTGGGCAGTGGAGCCAGAGGCCACCAAAACAACTCTTACAGTGCGAACACTGATACGCTACGAAGCGCTCGAATACGCCATGACGTGGATTTACGCAATCTCCGAGTGCGACAGTCTCAAACCTGCTGCACGGAAACGGTGGGCGTAGTATTTTTTTTAGACGGTCATACATTTCGATTTAAAGCTTTCGTGACTGCAGGGATTCATCTTCTTGGTTCTTTCAGTAAAATCACGTAGAAGGGAAGTAATAAAATAATAAAAATAAAACATAATAAAATAATTTTCAACGGCCGTGCCGCGAGATGGAATCGAACCGGTGACCGTGGATTGCGAGTCTAGTGTGCAGTGGCCAACCACATTACACACCACAAGTGGCAGCTGCCTTCCGTCTTTCAGTGGAAAACAAAAAGAAAAAGAGGTCAACGCTTTGCTTTTATTGCGCCGGGCAGTTGCTATACGTGCGGGAAACCGATCGCCAGTTTGTTTCAAGCGGTTCCAGGGAACGCAATTAATAACAATCCCAAGTTGCAACGGAAATGAAGAGCGGGGGAGAGAACAGAGGAGGATGGAAGATGATAGAAGCCGAGGCCGCACCGTTGAGGCGGAGCGCCTACCAAGAGGTCATTGCAATGCGTGCATCACGGGCAGCGCAATTGATTTGCAATCAATCAATGTTTACGTATTTACTCAACGCGCACGCACGAAAAAATGTACGATCAAGAGCTGGGGCTAGCTGCAATATTATTCAAACCTGAACACGTGCCAGGAGCTTTTGTTTGCGCAGTCATTTGCCGACCACACCGAGGCAATAAACTAACCGCGCTTGACAACATAATGTGATCCTGGACCAGTGCCCAGCATTCAAAAACCAAAAACCTCTGCAAGTGCTGGACGGTCGCCATTGGCACAGGCTCAGCTTTTAACTCCCCGAGTGACCCACGGCCCATCTCACCTACGCTGCACTCCACGAGCAGAGAGTAGAGCAGCAACAGCACCACAGCGAGGAACGCCCCCCCCCCTACCCCTGCTTATCCAGGCAAGCCTCATCGAGTTATTTTAGCCAGGCAAGCCTCATCGAGTTCTCTTAGCCAGGCAAGCCTCACGGAGTTCTTTTAGCCAGGCAAGCCTCACAGATTTCTTTTAGCCAGGCAAGCCTCACCAAGACTCTTTTTGGATGGTCATGCACTGGGATGTTTGGCCAATTTTAAACGAGTTGGGGTTTTTTATTTTTTTATTTTCACGAGTGCCACTATAATGGCTGGACTGGAGCCCCTGCTGATTGTGACGTTTCGGGGGTCATGATTCAATTCGAGGATTGATCCATTGTCTTCAACTGTGGTGGACATTTGTGCCTTTGGATCACGCGAACCTGTTTTATTTTATATATATATAAGTAAAACAGGTGTACGAATTGAAAAATAATATAATGATCTAATCTGTCTGGGTGTGATTATATATATGTATCGTGAGCTATAAAAAATTATGTTAAACAGATCAATTGATTTATTCATTTACATTTTTACAAGGCGCAGCAGACCAAACGGAGAGCTTCAGGGCGCAGTACAGAAAAAAACAATTTAATTTAATCCAAAATATTAGAGGAAATGAGAATGTTTTAGTTTATTCTTAATTGGGAGAGAGTCTCAGGTGCAGGTTCTTCACACAGAGCGTTAAAAACCGAGGGCCAAGAACCGAAACAGCCCAAGCTCCGAAGCGTTTTTTTTCCCCATCGTTAGATCTGCATCGTAAATTGGTCGTACTCTGTTAAATCGTAGCGACAACGACTGGGGTGCCACAGTGCCTTGCTTCATAAGTGAATCAATTAATATCGCAAAGCATACATTGAATCCAGTACGTTAAGAACCATTTTTCGAATCACTCACGTCGTACGCAAGTGGGTTCACGCAACGCCTTCTGCTACTGCAGACTTTTCCATGAACCTAAACCCTTTTTTTATGTACTCCTGACTCAAACCGCAACACCAAATCGCGACGATTCACCGAATTTCCGGGAGGTGACGAATCTTTACACCTCCCTGCTGTTAGCTCAACTGTTGGGAAGCTCACCAGCTGCATATTTAAAGTAATAAAGCATACTCTACCATCAACTAATGCTGCCTTAGAAAGATAAATAGTAGTCGTGTTGCCGGCAACTGCTCGGATATTTTTTGTCCATTATATACTGGTCGATATATTTACGCGACACCTGCAGACACTAGCAGCCTCAATGTTAGTACATTCCCAAATCGAACCACAATCCACGAATTCTGTCAATTCACCCAAACGCCGGGGAGGGGTTCAAATGACGTCACCCGGCAGGAGGAGCGAGCGAGCGGTCGGTCATACCGTCAAGGATGGCCCACTGGCCGTCGATCTCCGTGTGCTTGAGGTACGAGTCCTCGATGGTCGGGTCGTAGTCGGCCACGAAGATCTTCTGAAAGAACTGGATGGTGAGGGCGCTCTTGCCCACGCCGCCGTCGCCCACCACCACCAGCTTGTACGTGGGGAGGTTCTCGTTGGGCACCGAGCCCGCCGCCATCATTGCTGGGAGCGGCGCCGCTGTGCGCTATCCTGCGGTGAAGCGCAGGGGGAGAAGATGGTTAAGAAAAGTAAAGTCCGGTGGGGTGGCTCAGAGGTCAGGGTGGTGAACTGGCGGCATTGAGATTCTGGGTTCCAATAACCGTTTCTGCCACCTGCGATTAAAAGCGTATTCTCAAGTGGAGCGAGTTGGTCTCAGCCCGAGATCACCAGTGATTGCACAAAAATCCACATCAAACATTTATATTTGGACCTGCACTTCATTTGCCTAAATTACAGCTCTGAGAATTCAAAATATCGGGTTGACAAACATTACTCTCTCTAGTAGGGTGAATGGGAAAGTACCGTTTGGACAAACGGTCATTTTGAAGGTATTCTCTTCCATAGGTCACTCCCAAACACAAAGGATCGCACTTGCTGAGTGAGAGATAAGAATGGCTACTTCATCTCATAACACGACACCGATAGATCAGGATAAAGACGACATCTGCTAGATCCTAGAATTGTCGCAAAGTCGACCCGCTGACACCCCCTTAAGGTTTGCCTTTTTTTACATTTCACATGTTCTCCAACCTCTGGGTGCCATGCCAATTGCCTTGTCTTGGTAACCAGCTTACCTCCATGCAAAACATGTGCCCACCACATTACAACCTCTTTTACTAATTGTTCTTTTATTAACTTTCAAGTTGTTTAGCCTATCCTTCGATCTTGTGCAGCCCTTTTTCAATCCACTGCCGGATGCGGGCCTCCCAACACTGTGCGGGTCACGGGGATTATTTTGACCGTACTTCACCGTGCTGGTCTGTGCGGGTTGGTGATGGCGGGGTGCGTGGGTGAGAGAGCGATGCATTTTGGTCCAGTGTCCTCTGCTGCCCCCCACATAGCTCCCGCAGCCTATAGCAACAACTTTCGATTTAAAGTTTTCGTGACTGCAGGGATTCATCTTCTTGGTTCTTTCGGCAAAGTCACGTAGAAGGGAGATAATAAAATAATAAAACATAATAAAATAATACAATTCTCACGACGTTTCGGCCACAACACAAGCAGCAGTCCTCAGCGTCTTTCCGACAGACCTGTTCTTCACCTGAGGACGGCTGCTTGAGTTTGAGTCCGAAACGTCGTGAGAATTGCATTTTATTATATTATATTTTTATTATTTTATTATCTCCCTTCTACGTGACTTTACCGAAAGAACCAAGAAGATATAGCAGCAACCTTTAAGATTTTCTAAATTAACTCATTTGTTTAGAACCGCTTTTGTGTTTAATTTGTAGTCCCCCCCCCACCTCCAATTAGCACGGTTGGCTACGTACGGCGCAAAAGAAGTTCAAGATACATACAACCTGTTGTGCACGTTAGTCACCCATCAAAGCAACTATCCACATCCAACGCCGTTTAGTGTTGATAGGTGATGAGTTTTGGGCTCATTGCAGGTGATGTTATCAGAGGCTCATTACAGCAATGCAGGGTTAAAATATAGAGCTTCGAAATGCAACATCGTAAGTGGTGGGAAACAGGTCGTGAGAGAGAGAGAAAGGCCGAAACACCCTAGGAACCAAAGGGTCACTACTGACGATGCGCTCCCCAAATTTCACCAGGCTCACTGTTCATGAACTCTTGGAAGTGCTTGCACAAAGGATAGTAACATCTCATCCTGTGTTCTTTGGAATCAGGAGACGAGAGGGATTTTAAGAATGATGGACACAACACAAGATGGAGATAATGAATCATCGGTGTAAGGAGATGTCGATTGATGTCGCTCCAAGTGTTGGGAGCTCCTTCGGCTCCTTGCTGCAGCGCTTGGAGCGAAACGTCGGACACGAAGATGGTCTTGTAGACAGCAAATTACTTTAAATGTTTTAAAATGAAACGTGATCATATTCCAAACGCATCCAAATTCGACACATTGTATTTCCGGAATATTATACGGGTAAATATAGTCAAGTGTGTATACAATCAGTTCAATATGTAGGTCACCTATTTTCATAGTATAGCTTCTAACGCATTTCATCATGCGCATTTTACCTTACAGAACAGGTCCCCTTTATAAAGAAATCAAAAATGAACTTGGTATCGGTGCCTAAAACAACTAAAATTTACACATCTATTTCCAATATAAATCAGTGTAAATACCGTACTGTACATTTTTCATTTCAGATGTTTTATGCAAACTGCCCCTTTGGCCCATTAGACGCACGACCTCAATATGCAAATACTGTAACTGTTAAGCCTTGTATATTTATATTGATGATGGTGATGAAGTTAACCCGTTTGGGAAATGACTTGAAAAAAATACTTTTAAAAAACTACCTGCAGGTCTCCCATGGACCAATCCTCGTTAAAGCAACTGGCTATCGGATCGATAGAGGAGCAAACGTCGCACGGTAACTTCATTGTGAGTATTTTAACCTTTAAAGATGTATTAATACTATTCATACTGTCACTGTGAGTTTAACACGTAGTAGGATTTCGCGACAAATATGATATCCATAGTAGAGGTTTTTGGGTTAAGATCGCGTCAATATAAATGCGTCGTTAAACCGGCCACAACCCTGGCTGTCCCGCCTGATGATGTTGGTTGTAATTACAGGTGAAACGTCACTGTAGTCGAATTGTAAATGTTTGTAGTGGGGGTGTTTACTCTCCGACACACTGGTGTTGCTGTACCAGTAACGAATTGGCACCTTTTGTTTACGCCACAAACCCTGACTGGTAATCGGCTGTGTCGGGTGGTGGTGGCGGGTTTAACGACACATTTTTGATAGTTATGCTATCTAACCCAAAACACCTCTAGAGTGGACTTGACGATGATGATGATGATGCTGCTTGTGAGAAAGATGATGAACACACCTCGTAAACGATGACGACATTCACTTTTGTGTCTTACCAACCCCGCCTCCCAAAAAGAGCGTCGTCTTCGAACACAATGGGCTCAGAGAGATCATGCCGATTGTGAGTATCAACGTGCACACGAACATTATTTTACCTTACTCCACTTAACACACACACACACTGCTTGCCTGTCCCACCTCGCTGTGCGTTGCACTACGCACAATGCTGCGATGGTAGTTGCATTAAAACCACGTCTTTGTATAGCTATGCTCCTACCTCTATGCTCTCCCCAATTGATCCAACCCGCACGGACCAGCGTGGTGAAGTATGGTCAAACCACCCCACGACCCGTACGGGATGGGGTGGCCCTCATCCAGCAGTGATCCGACAAAGCCACACTGTAGGTGCACGTACTGTACACGAAAGAGAAGATCACGGCCCTCAGTGGCGTTGCTGTTTACGGGCGGTGTACATTTGTCCGTCCACACGATTTACACTTAAATAAACACGACTTATTATAGGTTTAAAAAGAGGCTTTTATTAAACGCGGTCACAGTTAAGCCCCGCTCACTACATTATTCATGTTTAGCAACAAGTGGGTGGGTGGGTGACTAAATCTAGACGAATCCTCTATAGGTTTATCGTGAGTAAACAATGTATCGGCTAGGCAGTTGAATTAACAAATACACCACAATAACAACAACACCACCGCCGCCACCAGTAACCATAACAATAATAATAAATAGTAATTAATCACAGCCGTCATCGTCAACAAACAAACCTTGACCGCACTCGGGCGCGACCGCGGACCGCCACCCGCCGCGGCCTATTAATTCTCGCCGTGTATCCCTCACCTCTCCCGGTAGTGGCTTCTAGGCGAGGCCGGTGAATACGCCGAGGTATGAAAATTCTCGGTTGGAAGAAATCTAAAACGGAGGCTGGCTCCGAGGTTCTGCTTCACTCCACCGGAGCGCTCGATAAGTCTCCTCTCCAAATACGAAGACTATCTTTATTCGAGCAAACGAGTTCAGTAGCGAATAGAGCACGGGCCACTCAACACCCTTTATAAAGGCGAGCCGGCGCAGCTAAAAATAGCCTTAACCTTAGGGGGGGAGGCGTTGCTCAATAATACCTTATGTCATCAAAATATTGCTTCGGGTCAATAACTATTATTAATTAATATTTGTAAACAATATTATCGCACGCAGAATTACGTAAATATTGGACGTATCCATGGTTTTAGCTTGTGAAATTCGCTTTGCCTGATTGTTTCCCCCCCCCCTCCCTTGCGCGTGTGCCATAAATGGTTTGCTCCAAAGGTAAGCGCCACATTAAATGGACCGAGGGAATTACTAAATGCCGCGCTCTGATTGGTGGATAGCTGCTGTGACGTCACCGGTATTCTTACCTTACCGCTGACGTCATTGCGTCGTTGTTTAAATGTCACCAAATCGCGTGGAGCGAATGGGGCGATGAATTAATTGGGGAATGACGAATGAATATTCATATTCTTAGGTTTTTTCGGTAAAGTCACGTAGGTAAAAACATCAAAATTAATGAAAATAAAATAAAACAAAAAATCACGACGTTTCGGAGGCAACACAAGTCGGAGGCAACTTGCCTCCGAAACGTCGTGATTTTTTGTTTTATTTTATTTTCATTAATTTTGATGTTTTTACCTACGTGACTTTACCGAAAAAACCTAAGAATATGAATACTTGCAGTCACGAAAGCTTCAAATCTAGAATTGACTAATGAATGTTGATATAAAACAACGAATGAATAACTTCGAGGGTTTTATTACTTGTTTGATGTATGATCAATGTGTTCATCTATCCGTTAATCTGTTCGTGCTACCGGCTGCGCCATGTGTCTCTGTTTTTTTTAGCCATCCGTGTTATTTTATAAACTTCATCAATCAATGCACCATACATTCGTCAGGAACACCTCCATCGAGTCTCAAGACCCTTGTTTCCGGGAGGGTCCTGTCGAATTGGCATGTTTGGCCATGGATTCCATTATCAACGAGAGTTCGGCTTCGTGTGGGATTCAAGCAGAGATCTAAACTAGACGATTTTAAACAAATGTATTTTTTTCCAGGTAAGGCCCACTGGGCTTTTTACCGATTTTTCAGAAGCGAGCTGGCTATCACAAATGATAGCTCAATGAAGTGGATTATGTGTAAATTTATAACGGCAGCCAAACACAAAATGTGGAAGGGGAAAAAACGGAGGACCCGGAGAAAAATCCACGCGACCACGGAGAGAGAGAGAGAGACACGCAGACTTGAAATATATTAAGCAGGCGTCGGGATCGAACCCACGGACCTCCTGTATACCAGGCGAGGTAGTTAGCATCTCCTAGCCACCGTGATCGCTCATCCCAGATGGCCGGAGGAAAGCCATCACCACGCAGACGACGGGGGTGACACCCAAAGCGACCGTCCAGTGATTAATGTGCACAGCCCTTGTGTCCATCCACTGCTGGATGAGGGCCTCACCACTCCGGTAAACATTCGACGTTGGGCCAACAACGCTGTAGGCCAATCGTGGCCCAGCGTTCCGTGTTTTCCAGAACGCCGTGCGGATTCGGGACGGTTTTGTCGTTGTTGAACCAACAATGCTGCCGAAATTACAAGCTCCCAGAAGGCCGTGTCTCTGATGAGTTGCGTAAAAAAAACCCATGTCACGCGGAGGGGCATACGTAGAGCATTGGAAATGTGCAGTTATTCTGAATTGTTACCACGCAGTTCGTGGCGTGTACGCCAGAGGGCGCACTAAGCTTACAAATCATCAACAGCTGCTCACGAAAGGGGCTCGTGACACGAGCGGTGAGTGAATGCTCAAAGACTCCCTCTTCCCCTTGGTCCTCAACAGCTTTGTTTTTTGGTGGATCTCCAATCACGGCTAACGGCCCTGCCCCCGACCATCACCCGGGGTGCCACGGTGGCGAGGAGATGTTCACCTGGTATGCAGGAGGTCGTTGGATTCGATCCCGACATTGACGATGCCCGTTTTATATTTAGAGGTTGAGCGTGAACTTTCTTTCCGTGGCCGCGTGGGCTTTTCTCGGGGTCCTCCGGTTTTTTTATCTCCACATTTCCGCAACGCATGATAAGCCACTTCCCTTGAGAGTTATTATTTGTGATGGCCAGGGGTGGCTTCTGAAAAAGAGCTCTGTGGTTCAGTGTTCGCCTTACCCGGTAAAATAATAGCGATAGATCGATGCATTCCCACCCCCACCGAAGGTACACTGACACATCTCAATTGAGGTGCACGAGGTGCCCCACAAGCATTGTGGTGAAAATTATCCCGAGCCTTGCGGCCTGCCTTTGGCTCCCGCCGCATGGAAGGAGTTTGCGGGTGGGGGACGCGGAGGTGGGGGGGGGGGGGTTAACACCCACCTTCATAAATTGATTTCAATTAGTTTACAATTAAGATTTAAAATGAATTAGTTATATACTCTTGAGATTCGTAATGTGTGGGACAAGACGAACCCCCCCACCCACCCCCGCAAATACAGGGTGCTTCAAAAACAATGTTAACACTTTTGAGAATTTTGAAACAATGCCACAGGAAATGTGCCTCTGGGCTCTGAAGACCACCTGGAGAAGATTCCAGGCAGCATGTTGACAACGATGGTGAACACGTGGGAGACTATTTGAAGCTATTAACTTACATTTGTTATCACATTACAGCGTCTATATTTTCAGTTTTTTTTCCATTAAAAACGATAGTCCCATCTAAGTGCTAACATTGTTTTTAAGCATCCTGTACAGAAGTCAAACTCCGCCTATGCCGTAATGACCTCGAGCCATGACGTATGGCCTCACAAAGGCCACGTTTATCATCGTTCAATATTCAGATAGAGTTAGGGGGGCTGGAGGCCCCACGTGGGATAAAATATTTCTTTTGTTTGTCCTGGCGCCGACAGTCATGATGTAAAGAAACCCCTCGCCAACCGCGGGGGTTAGGTTCCTGAACCCCCCCCCCCCACACACACACCGTGATTGGCAAGGGATGGCTGCATGTTGAACTTCTTTCGCACCGTACGTAGCCAACCAGCCACGGTCAGGTTGGGGTGCAGATCGTCCCTCTCCTCCGGAGGCTCTTGCTGCCGCTGCTGGTTTGAAGCTCAACAGACAAAACCAAAAAGAAAGCCGCCTCCTATAGACAACCCTTTAATGGCCACTCCTGCAGATTAATAAAAAAATAACATCTAACCGTTCTTGGAAAGTAGCTGGTACACTTTTGGAGGGAGGCACCTCTCTTTATCTCTCTCTGTGTGACAATTATTGCCCTGGAGATTAGCAGTTAACCCAGCGGCAGCAGCTGCTTGCAGGCGTCATTGGGAAGTCTAGAAGTGATATCACACACACACACAGAGTCGCATCACTGGTTTGAATATATAACTTCATGTGTTTCGATGTCCCTTTGATAAATTCCACATGTGGCTCAATCTTGATCGAGTCGAAGATGTTAGGGCGGTGACACGCCATTCGCCGACTGGAGGCTACCGCTTATTAAACTTTTAGTTCATTTAGTGAAATGATTTTGAAAATGTATTTATATTATTTTCATGCTGGGTGTCTGCTGCTGCTGTGTCCTGTACAGCGCTTTGAAATCCTTGATGAAAATCGCTTTATAAATGTGGCAATCTTTGGTTATTTCGGTAAAGTCACCTACGTGACTTTACCTGCAGTCAGGAAAGCTTCAAATCAAGATTGTAGTAATTATTAAGTAACTTCTCCTGCACAGTATTCACGCCGCAGCCTGCGACCATGAAACCCGAGGGAAGTGGCGATGCGTGGATGGCACAATGGGCCGTGATTCAGGGAATGAATAGGTCCCCTATTCAATTCTAATCTGCCCTCTCCATAGCCCAGCGCATGAACCCCTCCAGCCCATGCGGTCCCTGTCCGTACACTCGATAGCTACTCAGCATCGTGCAGGCGACACAGTGTTTAACATATGGCAGCAGCAGCAGCAAACATCGATGACTGTACTGGTGAATCTTAACAAGAACGGAAACTTGTTAACAAGTTTGCGTCGTTGCTTTACTGTTGCCCCGTCGTGTTGGGTGGCCACATTTTAAGTCAGCAGTTTATTTATTTTTATGTTGAAAAAAAGTGGCCAAAACGTTCAGTTCTGTTGAGATGGTGGCCTGGATAAGGCCGTGAGGTTTCGTACATGCGACGCTGCGCTCCATCTGCGGTGCGTGTGTGGATAACGAGGGACACACAACAAGGACAGGACTCAGACGGAGGTCGGCGGCGTACGACTGGGCAGCCACAGCGCCCCGCGGCACAACTTTTAATCACGCAATTCCACCTCACCCCCCTCCACCACCACCCCCAAATTACGTCGATTAAACACACGGACAGCGACAAACGCCACACACTGCACCGTTATTGTTAATGTTGTCACCACCACCGTTACCAATTACAGTAATAATATTACAATATTATTAAACACTTTTTTTGTTTAATTATGTACAGCGGGTTACAGCACACAACACACTGCCCGGGTTATGGGCAACTGTAAACTACACCTGTCGGCGCTAGGACAAAGAAGGTTCGATACCGAGGGCTTCATTTCAGTCGGGAGCTGTCGGGGGCCTTAGCTCCGGAAAACAATTCCCCCGCGCTCCCTCCCCACTGTCAAATGAGTGTGGGGGAGTGGGGGGGTGGAGATTTTTGAAAAATATACCTTGTCAAATTAAGCTCTGGTTGCGATTAACTTTTGGGAAACATTTGGAACGGAACATGTTGTTTGTATCGTAGAATCTTGGGATAGATGAAACTTTAATGAAAATAAATAAATATGCTTGAAAACTAAACTCTTTATTTTACCAGGTTTTACCAGGTTTCTTATTCAGGTTTCTTATTCAGAAGAAACCTGGCCATCGCAAATGATAGCTCAACAAAGTGTCTAAATCACGTGGAAATTCAAAGTAGATAAATACTCTCTATGCATGTTTTTTTAAATTTGGAGAAAAATCCACGTGATCACGGGGTGAACATTCAAACTCCAAATATACAGCAGCAGGCGTCAGGGTCGGAATCTAACCCACGACCTCCTGCATACCAGGCGAGGGAGTTAACATCTCCTAGCCACCGCGGCGCCCATTATGAAAGTCGTGAAAGCCACACGCGAGTCTCAAGACCTAAAAAAAGCAAGTTTTCCTGGAAGGTCCCGATACACTGGAATGTTTGGCAAAATCATTGTTTCAACGAAGAAGGGCTTTGCTTAATATGTGTGAGGATACTTGAGTACCCAGAAAAAACCCACCACACCTACGACGGAAAAACACCGAAGAGTCCGCATAGATGAGTTCGTGAACTCGTTTGCTGTTATACGGCCACCTCATGGCCACCTCCGGGGGTGATCTACGTGCGATCCACGAACCCACGCGCATCGCCACCTGCCATTTGGCCAATCGGCTACCGCTCTCCTGACCTCACAATCAGCCCGCAATAGCTCTCCACTGCTGGATGAAGGCCTACTCATCAAGGCGTCTCTCCATCCCTCATGGTCCCGCGATGAAAAATTCCATCGACCGCCTGCACACGTGCCGATTCCGACGCTCCATCTCCCTCACAAGGGATGGATGTCCCATTCCCGATGGGGGTTCTCCTCCCTTTGGCTGCCAATCCATCATCAGTCTCGACCATCGGCCATCATCCTTTTCAGATTTGAACATGCCTGCTCAGGCCTACGACTTACTTCGCTGACAATTAAATGTTTGAAACATCCCTTAACGACCACTACCCCAGCTTAAAAGAAGACACCGTTCAATGTCTTCAGAGAACTGCTTTTTGCGTTTAGTTTGCTGTCCTTCCCCCGCACCTCCGATTAGCGCGGTTGGCTACGTACGGTGCAAAATAAGTTCAACGTACATACACACATTTAACCATTCTTGGAATATAGCTGTTAACTTTTTATGAGGAGGCACCTGTGTAGGTGCGTATGGTGTATCTGTATCTCTCTATCTCTCTCTGTGCAAGATATTGCCTGGAAGGACCTGTATTTTTTTGGCCAAAAAGCCAACCAAAACCCATCGTTGGCAAACGCTGAGAACCGGCGAAAGTTGCTGAGGCCACTGTTGTCAAAACGATGCCCCCCCCCCCAACCTTGCTCCATACGTTCCCTACTCAAAGTGTCATCCCCGACTGTCGCAGGATTCTCAAATTCTGACCGCACGGTTCAGACTTTGATCAAAACCATTTCACCCTAACCCCCCCCCCTCCTCCCCACTCCTCCCCACACACACAAAAGCCACATCAATGCCACATTAAAGCATTGATGACGAGGACGATGATTGGACTTGTTTTACCGTTCTGTAAACTGTCGCTAACAAGGTAACACAAACAAAAACGCACGTGCGTACGTCGGTGAGTTTAAACCCCTATATTTGGCACTCGGAAATTGTAATTCTTTTTCAACGTTTTCTTTTAAATCGCCTCTTTTTGTCATACCGGCGACACGGTTGTGGTCTAGCTACCTCATTCTCGTGTCAGGTCTAGAACACGAGCCATGCGTCACTCACCCAGGAAGGCCTCCCTGAGCCTCGAGACGCCTCGGTTTTTATTGTCCTTTCCCCAACGAGGGCAGCTGAGAAGAAATCCCTCCCTCGCGTCTTTCCGCCAACTTTTGCGCGTGGGAGGAAACCGGAGCGGTTCGACAGACCGCGCACACGGACTAGAACGGAACCGTTCAACAGCTGCTGCAGCACAGATCGACACCGAGTAAACCTACTTGCTGTACTGCCTACCGCGGGCGCAAATCCGTCATCGCCTCTGGCCGAGGGGGCAGCGCGGTTCGTGCCGTGCATCGCTCCGGTGCGTGTTGCCCCGGGGTCGTACCGAGCGCTCCCTGCGAAGCGACGTCCGACGTTTCTCTCCGCGCGCTTCCGGGAGTGGAAAAAAATAACAACCGAATCGGCTCCCGATCTTGATTAGGTAGTTCCTGGAGCGAAACGTCGGCCGTCGTGCCGAGTCCGAACGCGCGTCGGAGAGAACTTAAGACCTTTCGTCCTTCATCTGTAATTGCAAGCCATGCGGTTCGGTTTGTGCCACGCGCGCGCACACGTGCACGCGCGCGCCGCTGAAGCGGAAAATGACGATGAACCGACTACAGCCCGGTAAACGGTAATGCCCCAAGCGAGAATTAATCGCTGCGAACACAGCAACAGAATGGGCTTCAATGGCTGTGCCAAAAAACCGTCTCAGCTCGCAACTCTCCCCCGACTTCCCTCTCCGTGGACACGGTCAGCCGGGGATTCAGGTATAAAAATAAATAAATACGTCGAGAAGTAGATAAATAGGTAACTAAATACATCGCGTGAAAAAATAAAAAAAGCAAATCTCGTCCTATTTCAGCAAAGTCACGGAGAGTCAAACGGCCCTGCTGCCTGCCACCTGGAGGCCGCCCAGAAATTCCTGGAGCTACTCCTCGATTCCTGGGGTTATCACCGAGATTTCTGGGGTTACCCCGAGATTCCTGGGGTTACCACCCAGATTTCTGGGGTTACCACTGAGATTCCTGGGGTTACCACCGATATTTTTGGGGTTACCCCGGAATTCCTGGGGTTACCACCGAGATTCCTGGGGTTACCACCGAGATTCCTGGGGTTACCCCGAGACTCCTGGGGTTACCACCGATATTTCTGGGGTTACCACTGAGATTCCTGGGGTTACCACCGATATTTTTGGGGTTACCCCGGAATTCCTGGGGTTACCACCGAGATTCCTGGGGTTACCACCGAGATTCCTGGGGTTACCCCGAGATTCCTGGGGTTACCACGAGATTTCTGAGGTTACCACCGAGATTCCTGGGGTTACCACCGATATTCCTGGGGTTACCACCGAGATTCTTATGGTTATCCCCGATAATTCTGGGGTTACCACCGAGATTCCTGGGGTTATCCCGAGATTCCTGGGGTTACCCCGAGATTCCTGGGGTTACCACCGAGATTTCTGGGGTTACCACCCAGATTTCTGGGGTTACCACTGAGATTCCTGGGGTTACCACCGATATTTTTGGGGTTACCCCGGAATTCCTGGGGTTACCACCGAGATTCCTGGGGTTACCACCGAGATTCCTGGGGTTACCCCGAGATTCCTGGGGTTACCACCGATATTTCTGGGGTTACCACTGAGATTCCTGGGGTTACCACCGATATTTTTGGGGTTACTCCGGAATTCCTGGGGTTACCACCGAGATTCCTGGGGTTACCACCGAGATTCCTGGGGTTACCCCGAGATTCCTGGGGTTACCACGAGATTTCTGAGGTTACCACCGAGATTCCTGGGGTTACCACCGATATTCCTGGGGTTACCACCGAGATTCTTATGGTTATCCCCGATAATTCTGGGGTTACCACCGAGATTCCTGGGGTTATCCCGAGATTCCTGGGGTTACCCCGAGATTCCTGGGGTTACCACCGAGATTTCTGGGGTTAACCACCCAGATTTCTGGGGTTACCACTGAGATTCCTGGGGTTACCACCGATATTTTTGGGGTTACCCCGGAATTCCTGGGGTTACCACCGAGATTCCTGGGGTTACCACCGAGATTCCTGGGGTTACCCCGAGATTCCTGGGGTTACCACGAGATTTCTGTGGTTACCACCGAGATTCCTGTAGTTACCACGAGATTCCTGGGGTTACCCCGAAATTCCTGGGGTTACCACGAGATTTCTGAGGTTACCACGAGATTTCTGAGGTTACCACCGAGATTTCTGGGGTTACCACCGATATTCCTGGGGTTACCACCGATATTCCTGGGGTTACCACCGAGATTCTTATGGTTATCCCCGAGAATTATGGGGTTACCACCGAGATTCCTGGGGTTACCCCGAGATTCCTGGGGTTACCCCGAGATTCCTGGGGTTACCACCGAGATTTCTGGGGTTACCACCGAAATTTCTGGGGTTACCCCGAGATTCCTGGGGTTACCACCGAGATTTCTGTGGTTACCACCGAGATTCTTGGGGTTACCACCGAAATTTATGGGGTTACCCCAAGATTCCTGGGGTTATCCCGAGATTTCTGGGGTTACACCGAGATTTATGGGGTTACCCCGAGATTTCTGGGGTTACCCCGAGATTCCTGGGGTTACCACCGAGATTCCTGGGGCAACCACCGAGATTTCTGGGGTTACCCCGAGATTCCTGGGGTTACCACCGAGATTTCTGGGGTTACCCCGAGATTCCTGGGGTTACCAACGAGATTTCTGGGGTTACCACCGAGATTTCTGGGGTTACCACCGATATTCCTGGGGTTACCACCGAGATTCCTGGGGTTACCACCGAGATTCCTGGGGTTACCACCGATATTTCTGGGGTTACCACCGAGATTCCTGGGGTTACCCGGAGATTTCTGGGGTTACCACCGATATTCCTGGGGTTACTCCAGAATTCCTGGGGTTACCACCGATATTCCTGGGGTTACCTCGATATTCCTGGGGTTACCACCGAGATTTCTGGGGTTACCACCGAGATTTCTGGGGTTACCCCGAGATTTCTGGGGTTACCACTGATATTCCTGGGGTTACCCCAGAATTCCTGGGGTTACCACCGAGATTCCTGGGGTTACCCGGATATTTCTGGGGTTACCACCGAGATTCCTGGGGTTACCTCGAGATTCCTGGGGTTACCCCGAGATTCCTGGGGTTACCACCGAGATTTCTGGGGTTACCCCGAGATTTCTGGGGTTACCACCGAAATCCCTGGGGTTACCACCGAGATCCCTGGGGTTACCACCGAGATTCCTGCGGTTACCCCGAGATTCCTGTGGTTACCACCGAGATTCCTGGGGCAGGCTCCGGGTTGCAATTCTTTTCCCAATGTTGACGATGACGAATGAGCCCAACGTGTTCCACCATCCACACGTATCCGTTGTGGGGCCTCCGCTTTTACACGCGACGTGGGGGTGAATCCCCCCCAACTTGAGTCCCTCACCCCCCCCCCCCTTTGGCCATCCCTGGTGCTACACCCAACCCCCCCTCCCCACCTCAAGGTACATTTTGCCCAAGAGGGACGAGTTTCAGGTTTAAAATGTTAAGATTTGTAATTTTCTCAACAACAGAAAAATTGGGAACAAATCTGGAGGGGCGGGGTTGTCGGGGGGGGGGGGGGGGGATTTCGCCACCGTTTAACGTAACGGAAACGTTGTGTAATGACGTAACGTAAACATGCCATAACGTAAAGTAAATGTGTGCAATAACGTAAAGTAAACGTTGTGCAATAACGTAAACCTTGCGTAATAACGTAACGTAAACGTGTAATAACGTAATGTAAACGTTGTGTAATAGCGTAACCGTTGTATAATAACGTAACGTAAACATTGCGTAATAGTGTAACGGAAACGTGTAATAGCGTAACCGTTGCGTAATAACGTAACGTAAACGTGTAATAACGTAGCGTACACGTGTAATAACGTAATGTAAACATTGTGTAATAACGTAAAGTTGTGTAATAACGTAACGTTAACATGTAATAACGCAACATAAACATTGCGTAATAACGTAACGCCCCCTCATTGCGTACAAAAGTGGCATCTCCCAATGCTGCGTGACACCACGTGTCCTCTTTTGCGGGGGGGGGGGGATATAAGTGACATTGTGGTGCATCCAAGTTAATTGATTACATTGGCGAGTCCAAGTTGATCGATTACATCGGTGCGTCTTAGTCGATTGATTACATTGGTGAGTCCAAGTTCATAGATTGCATTGGTGAGTCTTCGTTGATTAACTACATTGGTGAGTCCAAGTTGATAAGATTACATTGGTGAGTCTTAGTTGATTGACTACATTTGTGCATCCAAGTTGATCGATTACTTTGATGGGTCTTAGTTGATTGACTAAATTTGCGTATCCAAGTTGATCGATTACTTTGATGCGTCTTAGTTGATGGACTACATTGGTGCATCCAAGTTAATTGATTACATTGGCGAGTCCAAGTTGATCGGTTACATCGGTGCGTCTTAGTCGAGTGATTACATTGGTGAGTCCAAGTTAATAAGATTGCATTGGTGAGTCTTCGTTGATTGACTACATTTGTGCATCCAAGCTGATCGATTACTTTGATGGGTCTCAGTTGATTGACTACATTTGTGCATCCAAGTTGATCGATTACTTTGATGCGTCTTAGTTGATGGACTACATTGGTGCAACCCAGTCGAAATATTACATTGGTGAGCCGAAATTGATAGATTTATATTGGTGCATCAAAGTCGATAGACTGCATCGGTGCGTCCCAGTTGGGATCGGTGCACGGTGCACAGTCAACAACAACAACAGCAAAAACCTCACTTCGTGTTTTACATCGTTTCCGGCGAAGCAACATTTTTTTTGGCGGATCGATCCGAACTAGAAAATAGAAAAAAAAACATTCGTTACCATTATACAAAACATCGTTGTAGTGGGGGCTCCAAATGTTCCCGAACGCGACAACGCTCGCCAACGATTGGTGTCAGGCGCGCATCGCACGTTCAAGGTGGGAGCCTCGCCGTGCCTCAAGACTCAATTATCGCGAGGGGTCCTGCCGAGGTTGCGATGTTTGGCCAATTGTATTTAAATTCGGTTTTTTTTCGGGTTTTTTCTTCTTCACCACGTGGGAGCGAAAGCCGGAGGACCCGGAGAAAACCCGCGCGTGTACGCGGTGGTAACGACTCAAACAGCCGCACGGAAAGGCGGTAACCCCCCGCCGCCCCCACCAGCCGCTACGCGTACCACCAAACATCTCTTGGCCACTTGTAATTGCGTACGAAACGTATACTTTGTACGAAAGGAAAACCCTTGCCGATGCGTCGTTTTAACATTATTTTATTATTATTATCGTTTACGACGCTTGTGTAGCCCGCTTAAAGGCTCCGCGAGTCTCGAGACTGGAATTTATTGGGAGGGTCCTGCCACAGGCTTGGGGGTAGCGATGCCACCGCTGTAATCCGAATTGACGACCGGAAACATTTTTCCGCAGGCGATTTTTCAGCATCGGGATGATTTTGGCCAACACCCGGTTAAGATTGTTTTTTTTTTCTCCCCTTCTTTTCTTTAGCCACGGGAGAGAACCGGAGAACCCGGAGGGGACCCGTGGGGAAAAGGCGCAGAAGCCACAAACCCACGCACGGAAAACCACGCGAGGTCGGGGAATCGAGCCCAGGCGCTTGTTTGCTGTGAGCCGTCAGCGTGACCACCGCCACTGTGGGCGCGACTCAACACCAGCCTTTGACGTTCCTTGTTTTTTGTTTTTGGTTGTTCCGAGATCGGCATATGAAACCCTCTCTCGGGAGTACACTGTGATTCGTAATTGTTTGGGTTAGCTCCTTGTCGGTATCGTGCCAAATCAGAACAATTTTATATATACTTAATGTTTTTTTTATCGTACATTGTCGTAAAACATGACACGCTGCTGATCCGTCTCCCCTCCCTTCCCCGACTTCTCCCAAATGTCTAAAAAAAAAAGACCGCGAACCAACAACCCCCTCCCTCCAACACCCCCACCCCCCCCCCTGGATACGTGGGGAGGGGGCGGAGGAAAGGGGGTGGGGACGGGAGAGAGATGGCGCCTTCATATGAACCACTCTTTCTTGCTCTCCTCGATGGGCTCCGAGAAAGCCGGGTCGTGGTCCATGATGGCCGAGTCGCCGTGGTCGGCCGTGTCGGAGCCCTTCACCTCGTGCGTGTGGTACGTGCCCTTGTGCCGCAGCATGCACCGCGCCAGCAGCGCCAGCAGCGCCAGCAGCGCAAAGCACACCGCAGCGATGACCCCTGCACACGGCACAAGCAGAAGGATCGTCAGCACCAGCAGCACCAGCAGCGCGAAGCACACCGCAGCGATGACCCCTGCACACGGCACAAGCAGAAGGATCGTCAGCACCAGCAGCAGCAGCAACAATGAGCAGCTGCGACACCACGATCACCCCTTGCCGTCTAGATGTTCCTGTTGCAAGGCGGCGTTAATGACAAAGTGTGCGTGTAAGATATGATTTATTTATTTGTTCGCGATGTTCCATGTCGGAACTGCGGGCACTTCGTTCAGGTCACCGTGGAATTGTACGACGTGTAAATTGTCGAAAAATCGCAGGTTTGGAATCCCCTGGATACAACGCAACCGTGCCGATGCTGCTACTGCTGCATCGGAAAACAACTCCAGGCTCCTGGTTTGCGTCGCAAAATAATTCCTGGCTCCTGGTTTTGTGTCGGAAAACAACTCCTGGCTCCAGGGTTTGCGTCGGAAAACAATTCCTGGCTCCTGGTTTTGCGTCGGAAAACAACTCCTGGCTCCAAGTTTTGCATCGGAAAACAACTCCTGGCTCCTGGTTTTGCGTCGGAAAATAATTCCTGGCTCCTGGTTTTCATCGGAAAACAACTCCTGGCTCCAAGTTTTGCATCGGAAAACAACTCCTTGCTCCTGGTTTTGTGTCGGAAAACAACTCCTGGCTCCTGGTTTGCGTCGGAAAATAACTCCTGGCTCCTGGTTTTGCGTTGGAAAACAACTCCTGGCTCCAGGTTTTGCGTCCGAAAACAACTTCTGGCTCCTAGTTTTGCATCGGAAAAATAAACTCCTGGCCCCAGGTGAAATGAACTGATCCATCCACACCACCCTTAACACTACTGACTTAGAGCAGTGCCAAGTTTGGAACAAAGAAAAAGACCCCCACCCCTTTAACAGACTGGTGGGGCAAGTGTTTTTTTGCAGAGCACCGATTCATTGCGGTCGGCACGGCGCACGAGTGGTTGGGTGGCAGACACCACGTCCGGCCCAACTTTGCCTCCCGGTGTAACCAACGGTAACCCAGAGTAACCCAGAGCCACACTGCTCTGGGTTACTTATTTGAGGCTGAGTCGACCTTACGGGAGACCCGGGACCGGTTCAGATAATCGTCACTGGTGTTGGCCGTGAGCGGGAATCGAACCCGGGTCCCCAGCGCCAGCGTAGCGCTAACCGCTACACTACCGCTCCCCAGAGACACACACACACTGAGACACACACACACACTTTACCCAAACCAAGCAGGGATACCTATCAAACGCGCGCACACACACACACCACTCGTCTACCCCCAATCTTTCAAGAGCGACTCCACCCACCCTCCCCCACTCTGCTCCCCACTCGCCTTCTCCCGCTCCTCGTCTCTCCCCTCGTTTCACACTCTTCCATCCCGGGGGCCAACGCAATCAAACGCGTGGATCATTCCCGGGGAGGCGAAGCTGAGAGTGAATCATTCGCGAATTACCGCGCACCACCGACAAACTCCCCCCCCCCACCACCGCCCCCCACACCAGCCCCACCCCCTCTCGAATCACCGGGGCCACGTGGCGTCTACTCCGCTAATTCCCCCGGTGGGGGGGAGCGGTGTGGGAATCAAGCCCGGGGCCCTCTAATGAGACCGGACGGGGGGCGGAGGAAGCGGCCGAGAGGTAACGAAGAGAATCGAAATCGACGAGGCGGGGAGAGGAGATCTGCTGCTGCTGCGAGCGGTACCAGGGGGGGGGGGGAGGTTGCCGAGGGTTCAGTGTGAAAGCAGAGTCAGACTAAAGCCTACATGCCCAGAGGTTTATACGTGGGGGAAACCGAATGCCCGTAACGTTACATCGGGAAAACGGAATGCCAAGAGGCTAACACGGGGACAACGGAATGTCCATGGGTTTTTGACCTTCCCCGCACCTCCGATTAGCACGGTTGGTTCTACGTACGGTGCAAAAAAAGTTCAACATGCATACGACATTGGGAAGACGGAATGCCCGTAGGCAAACTTTCCATGACCCCATCTAAGTCTATGGGCATTGGTTTTCCTTTAAATAATTGTAGTCTGTTGCATTCGTTTTCGTCGTCGTAGAAGAAGAATCGTCACGGTTCATCGATTTGTGAAACACTGTCATCATCATCATCGCATGCGTTCATTTCCCACTCAGCATCGTTGATTCCCACATTATAATAGTTGAGTCTAAAAATAATTCCCCGCGTCATCATCCAACATCATCGTCGTCGTTAATTTCCAATGCATCCGCACTCTAATACAAATCCCCATCATCATCATCATGTAAATCAGCGTAATTAATGCAAAGTAATAAAAACAATCTAAAAATATCGTCAACTTGTAACGTGACACCCAAAGGCATTCACTAATTTTCGCTGACAGCGAACGACTGAGAGTCACAGACAAGCGGGAACATTTCATCGGCCAATTAACGAGGGCTTATTAACTAACTCTAACTCACGAACTAACTTTAAAAAACAAATTACCAGGTAAGGCCCACTGAACTATACAGCTTTTTTTATTAGAATCGATCTGGCTACAAATGATAGCTCAACGAAGTTGCTTATCACGTGGACATTTTTATAGCAGTCGCGAAATACTCTAAACGCGTGTTTTTAAACGTGGAGGGGAAACCCGGAGGACCTGGTGAAAAATTCATGCGACCATGGAGAGAGAGACATGCAAACTCCAAATATACAGCAAGCGTCAGGGTCGGGATCGAACCCACGACCTCCTGTATACCAGGCGAGGTAGTTAACATCTCCTCGCCACCGTGATGATGATAGAGAGACACGCAAACTCCAAATATACAGCAGGCTTCAGGGTCGGCATCGAACCCACGACCTCTTGTATACCAGGCGAGGTAGTTAACATCTCCTAGCCACCGTGATGATGATGATGATAGAGAGACACGTAAACTCCAAATATACAGCAGGCTTCAGGGTCGGGATCGAACCCACGACCTCCTGTATACCAGGTGAGGTAGTTAACATCTCGACACGGTGGCACATATGGGAGGAAACCGGAGCACCCGGAAGAAGAACCCACGCGTGCGAGGGGGAAACACGCTATCACACGCAGACGGCACCACAGGTGGAGTCAACATTGTTTGCTGTAGATTTGAAGCTTTCGTGACTGCAAGGATTAATACTCTTAGTTTTTTTTTGTTAAAGTCACGTAGGTAAAAAAAATTAAAATTTATAAAAGTAATAATAGAAATAAAATAAAATAATTCATTAATTTTTATTTTATTTTACCTACGTGACTTTACCGGAAAGAACCTAACAGTATTGTTTGTTGTGCCGCCTTCTCCTGGCCGGCTCGGGTATGGGCTCCTCCTCGACGCCCACGGGGAAGGGAGTTTCACAGCCCCCACCATCTGTGGCCGTGATCCAACAACCCTCACTGCTGCCTCCACAGCGTTGGGTTGCAGGTAGCCGCGTGCAGCAGCAGCAGAAGCAGAAGCAGCAGCAGCAGAAGCAGAAGCAGCAGAAGCAGAAGCAGCAGAAGCAGCAGCAGCAGCAGAAGCAGCAGCAGCAGCAGAAGCAGCAGCAGCAGCAGCAGAAGCAGCAGCAGAAGCAGCAGCAGCAGCAGAAGCAGCAGCAGCAGCAGAAGCAGCAGAAGCAGCAGCAGCAGCAGCAGAAGCAGCAGCAGCAGCAGCAGCAGCAGCAGCAGCAGCAGCAGCAGCAGCAGCAGCAGCAGCAGAAGCAGCAGCAGCAGAAGCAGCAGCAGCAGCAGAAGCAGCAGCAGCAGAAGCAGCAGCAGCAGCAGCAGCAGCAGAAGCAGCAGCAGCAGCAGAAGCAGCAGCAGCAGAAGCAGCAGCAGCAGAAGCAGCAGCAGCAGCAGAAGCAGCAGCAGCAGAAGCAGCAGCAGCAGCAGCAGAAGCAGCAGCAGCAGCAGCAGAAGCAGCAGCAGCAGCAGCAGAAGCAGCAGCAGCAGCAGAAGCAGCAGCAGCAGAAGCAGCAGCAGAAGCAGCAGCAGCAGAAGCAGCAGCAGCAGCAGAAGCAGCAGCAGCAGAAGCAGCAGCAGCAGAAGCAGCAGCAGCAGAAGCAGCAGCAGCAGCAGCAGAAGCAGCAGCAGCAGCAGCAGAAGCAGCAGCAGCAGCAGCAGAAGCAGCAGCAGAAGCAGCAGCAGCAGAAGCAGCAGCAGCAGAAGCAGCAGCAGCAGCAGCAGAAGCAGCAGAAGCAGCAGCAGCAGAAGCAGCAGCAGCAGCAGCAGCAGCAGAAGCAGCAGCAGCAGCAGAAGCAGCAGCAGCAGAAGCAGCAGCAGCAGAAGCAGCAGCAGCAGCAGCAGAAGCAGCAGCAGCAGAAGCAGAAGCAGCAGCAGCAGCAGAAGCAGCAGCAGCAGAAGCAGCAGAAGCAGCAGCAGCAGCAGAAGCAGCAGCAGAAGCAGCAGCAGCAGCAGCAGAAGCAGCAGCAGCAGAAGCAGCAGCAGCAGAAGCAGCAGCAGCCATCCTCTTGTGAACAGGAGTCTACTGAACAACCCTCGTCTCGTTCACGAGCGTTGTTTTGTCTTACTCCAGGTCCGTGGCGCAGATGGGGAGCGCACTCGCAGGTGCATATGAAGTGTTGTTGAAGACGCGTGGACAACGGGGTAAGGCACACGTATTTATTTACACAAAGGGCTTACAGTACTAGAGGGATGTATCGGCCCCCTCACCCGTACAACTGGGAATTCACCCCTAGCTAGCCTTCCTAGCTGAGTCCTCCGCTAACGGGCTAGGGGAGGCTGTCTGGCCCGACACTGGTTAGTCGGGCTACGGTACCCGGAATCCCAGAGGTCTGACTCTGGTTCCGGGACCACGCCACTGGCTCCAGCCTGCACTGCCCTTACAAGGGCGGCGTCCCAGGGGGAGTCCAGGGCCTATCTGGCTGGTCTTCTCTCTTCTCTTAACTACTCTAAGACTGAGCCCCGAGCTCTCTGGCTCAACCCTTTTTATACCCCGTTAGAGGATCGAAACCCCCCTCACGCCGTCCAGTACGGACGTCGTTGCGGGCACCACCCCGT